AATATATTTATGAAGTTACATATTTAGCAAAAATTCATTAAAATTCATTTGAATTAAAGCTTAAATACCATGTATGCCTGTTACATGTAAACAATGCATTCAAGCACAAAACATTTTAAAGCTGTAAAGTTGAAGTTGTTCTCAAAATGACCTGTTGAACAGTAAGGTGATGTGCGCCCGTCCAAATTTGTAACAAAGTCTTTCAAGTTTCTCAATTTTAGAGGATTTTCATTTGGTATGTGAATCTTTTTAAAAGCAAATCTACCAATAACAGAATACAAAGTGAGACAAAAACGACTAATTTCAAAGATGTTAAAAAGAGGAAAAGAATAATGTGAACTATGAAACTGCCCCACTTATGCCATTCATTGGAAAGGACTACTTGGGTAAGTCCTAGTATGGTACATGTAGTTTGACTTGTATTGTCACTCCCAAAGAAAATAGACATTACAACCATTTTTGGATAGCTTTCATTTAAAACCAGAACGGTCCCATAAAGATGCTTCCATATTTCCTGATATAGTATTTCGGAGGTTATTATATGTAGTCTTCTCCAAATGTCAGAGGGCTCTGTGTTCTTGTAAGTAATTGAACTCGGAGGTGCTGACTGAGATGTTCGTGGAGGACTGCTACAGGTATTTCCTTAGTGTTGGGGATCCCAAGGGTATGTGGGACAGTTGTCCAAATAAATAAACTCAGGAATGTCCCTGCCTAGGCTGTTTGTGGAGGAAAACCCCAGTAATCAGATAAGTCCTGATTGAGTGAACACAGCAGCCAGCAGATGAAAAGGCTTCCCACGTGTGCGCGCATCTGCTCCTTCTGGGGTCGAACACATTCATGACCCCTTTGTGTTTGTGTATGTGCCAACGAGGTAAGGCTACCAGTATGTTGTGGTACACGCTCTAATAGTTTGTAATTGGTTACGGGATGGTGTGCTTGATTGCAGTATCTGCCGCTTGCTGATGTTCAAGTAGGTGATGTACATGTACCATACATGTAGGAATTTCCCAACATGCTTCATGCCTAAGATGTTGCCCTGCTGTGTACTTTGCATTGATAGCATGAGAGCTTAGTTATTCAGGGGGGACAGAAACAGAGTGCTTTCTTTCCAGTGTCAGGGGTCTGGACAGTTTTTTTGGAGAGTTCAGGCACATGACACCTGTATGAATGTATGACCCTACAGCTGTGCATGGACTGTAGGGAATCTATAATTATCAAAAGATGTCAGTGGGACAGGGAGGGGTTGGGGTGTCTTCAGCCTTTTCAAAGTTGCCTGCCTTTGCCTTTTCCAGCCCACCAACTGTGTTATTCTTTCATTCTTGTGTTAAGTCTTCCTAGATGTCAACAATGTGTTATTGTATACTGTTTACATTGGTTGCATTCACATATACACATGTACATGTATATTGCCATCCTATCGGCATGTGTACAGAAGTCAAGCCGCCAGAATTCCTTATGTACACGTAAATGCACATATTCACATACAGTGTTGAAGTTAGTGATAAATTTACTTGTCCCAAAGTTTATCTGATTAGTACATGTGTGATATAGAGTGAGTCCGGGCAGGCGTATACAAGAGAAGTGCATTGCCATTTGGACTGACGTGCTGTGCGGTTCAGTTTGATTGTGGACTGATGAATGGATTTCTCTGGCCCAGACAGAACCCCGGGCTTTGCAACCTTCGGTGTTACCCTGGCCTCCTAACTGGGAGGTATATGTACACCTACATGTCAATTGTATTCAGAGGAACACCTGTAATATTGATGTGAATCTCGTTCCTCTTCCCTTTGAACTCTATCGAACCTTGGAACCAAGGTATACAACTGAGTTGGGTCATTTCAGGGCATAGTAACTTGGAAGATTTTCAGGACCAATCAAGGGATCTGTGGTTAAGTGTGTCAAGGGGTTTACAGAACACTCATTGAGTAGAAGTGCTTCCTATCCACATTTAATTGCACATTTGCGCAACTCTTGCAAAGTGTAACCACAATGCACTTTCAGCTGGTCTTGGAGAAAAATGTTTCTAAGTGGGCGTATTTACTTAGATTAACCTTAACAGTACCGGGCGTTGCTTGGCTTAGAGTACTCAGTACTACAAAATACTATGTAACACTCTGAGCCTAAAGGACCTAGCGCTACAAATTACTACTTCTGGCTAGGTTTATTCCATTGTTACTCGTACAGAGAACAATGAAACCAGGCATTCATAGTGCCACAGCACTGTATGGTACATAATCTTCTCTATTGTATTTTATGGCTTCAGATAATAATAATGTCATGTCCTCTTACAAGCGAAAGGGCTGAGTACTATGTTTTACTACTAAACATGTAACATAACTTCAGTTGATCAATTCTGCTCTGTACTGGGAGCCAGCCAATCTGCTTGGAACATCCGCTGTTAAGTGAGTCCTAGTCTTCAGGTTAAGGACAAATCTTACCAGCTTGTTTTGGGATGTCTGTAATTTAGTTTTTGTGCGTTTAGTCAAACTATCATAGTTCATACCAGAATGATGAACAGTAATCATAATGACACTGAGCCAGTACTGAGGCCAAATTTTTCCTAGTAGAATGATCAAAATATGTGGTGTTGCGGTACAAAAATGTTAGTCTTCCATTGACCTTGCTTGTCACCTTGGCAGCCATTGTTTCACCACTTAGTGTCTGGTCGAGTTCAGCACCTAAATACTTAAGAGTAGATTTGGATTTGATTGCACTACCCGTTACACAAAATATTCAAGTCACTGCAAGTTTTCGATCGATGCTTTTGACCAAACTAGATACTTTCGCTTTTACCAAGATTCAATGATAATTTGTTATCTGCCATCCAGTCACTAGTAGATTTTAATTCTTTAGTCAACCTTTGTTCAATTACACTTATATTGTTCCCTGATACAATGAGAGCAGCATCATCAGCGTACATTAATAATCTACAGTTTACAGCTGTCTCCAGGTCGTTAACATAAATTAAAAACAACAGGGGTCCATGAACAGCTCCCTGCGGCACACCACAGGAGACAGCTTGTAGGCTAGATTCAGTACCTGAGAATGCTTTCTGTCCGACAAGTGTGAGGAGAACCACGAGACAGCGGAGCTGTTAAACCAGCAGCTTTTAGTTTCCCCAGCAAAATATTATGGTTGACGGTATCAAATGCTTTTTCCAAGTCCAAAAGCAGCATGCCAGAATAGTTACCTTTGTCCAACTCGATTCTCACATGGTCACTAGGCGCGACTCGGTCGAAAAAGATTTCCAAAAACCTGACTGATACTGAAATATCAGTTGATTACTCTGAAGGTATGGAAATAACTGATCGTGCACAACCTTCTCCAGTACCTTGGACTCAACACTAAGTACCGAAACCGGGCGGTAATTTCCTGGTTCGTCTGTGCTTTTCTTTTTATGAACAGGAACCACTCTGGCATGCTTCAAGTCGTTTGGAAATTTACCTAAATGCAGAGACAAATTAACAATATGCATCAAAGGAGAGGCAATGGCATCAGCTGCATCTCTCAAGAATTTTGCTGGAATGTTGTCCAAACCTGTCGATTTTAAACAATTAAAACTATGCAGTCATTTAAGTTTATATTCCTCACTGACAGAACTCAAGCTAAATGCATCAGGAACTATACCCTTATTGGCATAAAACTGAGTAACAAATGAAAGGCAAAAGTGGCCACTTCCAGTTTGAATTTTTGAGACGACTTTAGTTGCCACTGTTGTAAAAAAATATTAAAAGCCTCAGTGATTTTGTACTTATCAAATACTGATGTACCGTGCATAGTTAGAGATTCTTGCCCTTTTAAACTCTGAGAACCTATCGGCATCTCGAGATTTTCTAAATTCTGAAAATAGCCTATTTCTGGCACAAATACTTGTCAATATCTCATCATCCATCCAAGGTTCTGTTTGTTTAAACTTTGTTTCCTTTATGGGAAGTTAAGTATGTTCAGAAAAATATTGTTAAATACACTCCAAGCAAGTTCAATATCATCTGTTCCTAGAACAGAAAACCCTGAGTTCTTTTGTTCAAGCCGTTTTTTTTTAACTGCTCTGGTAAGAATTGCAGCACATGTCTAGATGTCAACCAGCTCACAAACAAAAGGTTCATCGTGTATAGGTGTCACATGTGGCCGTGTGTGTTCTTTGCCATTTGTTTCATTAGATGCGTGGTTTCACTCCCTAGCAAATCAGTTTACCTAAGCAGAGGACCACGTAAATCCCCTTAGTTCTTTTGTGTCTAATTACTCAAGAAGGGCATCGTTACTCAAGAAAGGCATATCCAGATTATTGTGGGTTGGGGGTCCCACGTAGTAGCAGTGTCCGCATGTAGGATTGTCTTCCCCGCTTTGACCCAACCAAGCACAATGGTTAATTTGTCAACCGTGGAAATGAAAAAGGAATTTTTAAACGAGTGTACACGTCCGCCGTGGAACGAATAAGGAAACTTTTGTGTATTTACATATCATCCAGTGACAAGTGGTTAACAATCAACTGTATAAACCAAGCACCTGCTTAATTGTATCTGTTAACATATACCGGTAGTATTGTGTGAGAAATGTTCCCAAAGTGTCTGTTCATATAAATTGCATGTACAGCCAGCATTACATGTATATCTGAGTGCCGGGGTATAATGTGTTAAGTGCTTGACTGCATCCAAAGTCGCATTGTGTTTTGTGAAAGATGTTCAGAAAGTGCATGACAACCAACTCTTTCACCAGCTTTTGAAAAGGTTTTTTTTTGCTCCCCTTTTCTGTGGTAGTGGTTTTCATAGCATTGCAGAAAAGCTCATGAAAAGTTGTGATGAAAAGTGACTTCAGACCATAGGTTCACGAGTAGCATAGGTTGAAGTACATGAAGCGTTTACTTGTTGCGACGAAGAACCTTGGTGAGCAGTCCATGTTGGCAGATGTTTTGAGAAGAGCAGAGAACTATTCCAGTTTGCATGTGTCAGCAAAATTCCATACAAATAATGAGTAAATTTTTTCTTTCATTTCATGTTTAGGTATCATCAAGTTGTAATCTCTTGGGGCTCAGGGTTGCTGTCGATGTTTGCGAGTAAGCCTCAGTGAGTGAAAGACTCGGACACACAAACACAGAACAAAGCAAAGGAGAAACAACCCTCCAAAAAACAGCAAAGTAAAAAAAAAAAAACTGACATATTGTGATCCCCGCATCAAGATGGAGGTGGAATCAGGACGAAACGAATACACGCTGCAGCCTTATGAGAACCGGCGGTTGCAGAAGGTGCTGAGCTGGGTGCGTCAAAACCTACTGCTCCTCTTCACGCTGGTGGCCGTCATCCTAGGCATTGTTCTGGGCCTGCTCCTGCGCCTGGCTGAGCCCTCGGAGGATGCGATCCTCCTCATCGGTTTCCCGGGAGACATCTTGATGAGACTCCTCAAGATGCTGATTCTCCCACTGATCGTGGCTAGTCTCATCTCAGGTAAGATTTTTTTTAAAGAGAGATTGGTTCCAATACTTTTCTACCCCCTTTCCATTTATCCCACTTTCTGCTATCTCCTTCATCTTTCCCACCTCTCTCATTCTTCCTCGCCACGAAGCGATGGATCTTGGAAGATGGAGAATTTGTGCCTTGGCCTTGCTCCTCTATTGTCTTCAATTCATCCTGATGTGAAGACTAATTTCTGTAGCCCAACCATGCTCAATTCATCAAGATTCTGCATTTAATTGCAATGAACCCTTGAGTGTTAAGGCTCAGTGCTTAGGTTATTAGGTATTAGGTTATTATTTTTGCTCAATAGTAATACTTTGGAATAATGTAACTTTTTAAACGCGCTTGACTTGGTTTGTTGTTACTTTATCACTCTGAGGTTGCTTATCGAAGAAAAAATCAGGAATACCCTTTCTGTCAGGTGCACTGGTGACAGCATCATGCCAAATTTCTGCTTCAACACCAAGTTTTCTTTTCTGTTTGCTTGTCTTTCCTTTTGGTAGGCTTAACTGGCCTGGACACCAAAGAGAGTGGGAAGTTAGGCCTGCGAGCTCTGGTCTACTACTCGGTGACGACATGCATCGCAGTCATCATCGGCATCATCCTGGTGCTGAGCATACACCCGGGCAAGGCAGAGACCAAGGCCTCGCTGGGTGAGTTTGGAGAGGAGAAAGAAGTGACCACCATGGACGCTATTCTGGATCTACTAAGGTCAGTGGCAAAGGCCTGCCCGCCTCCTCTTGCTGGATTCAGGAAATTTGGAAGGTTTTGTTATTCTTGACATTGACAACCCTTCAACAGTGGCACGGTTGAGGGGTAAACAGCCTCACAGTCCCTGACTCAACCTCTGGCTGATGTTTAAACATGTTAATTCATCTCCCCTCACCCCTTTTGGTGGCACTTGGATTTATATCCAAAGAGCGCCGCTACATCTCGTGTTGGTCAAAATTGATATTTTGAGGCCAAAAATAATGCCGTCTTCAAGTGGGTAAAGTAATGTTCACCACCAAATTAACCCACATGTAACTAGGAACACATTGAGTCTCCGTGGAGCCGAAGTCGGGGAGGGGACAATTAAACCCCACTCCAGTTTCGAAAATTTTGCTTTTACCTCTGTGTTGTGGATTCTGCCACCACAAGAGAAGACAACAAAAGAAAATGTCATTGTTAAGTCGCAGTAGAATAGCATAAAATGAATTGTGAAGGAAATCCTAATGATTGAGGAAATTATGGCATACACCGTGCACGTGGGTAACAGTATCACACAAGATTTGACCTGGCACACTGGAAGTGAGCGTACATGCATGTGCAGTCCTACAGTAGTCAGTGTTGATCAGAGCTGCAGCTGAGATCTTTTCCGAGTCAATTAAGAACACGGGGGTGAAAAATTCATTGGCCAGGAACTCAAACAGTACGGCCTGAGTATTTCAGTAATTGGAGCAAAGTTACGCTGAAATTGGCTAGGTTTTTGCATGTTTTTCGCATGCCCCTGTCTGACTGTGTGTCCTACTCATTCAAAATTCTCAGTCAATGCAGGGTTGAGTCGTTCCATACCATTCTATATTTGGGTTTACAAGAAAGCTCCGAATAATCGCAAAAACTTAACTACAGTTCTGATTCAAATAATTATTGCAAAATATTACAATTGAACCATTTCTGACATTTAATATTGTTCATGGAGTGTTTGTGGTAATTTTTTACTGCAAAATCTCATCCTTTCCTCCAATGACAAGAAAATTGCTTGGAGAAAGCTTATCGTAGTCTGTTCTGTGTTCTTTCTTTGCTCCCTCAGAAACATGATGCCTGTTAACCTGGTGCAAGCATGCTTCGAACAAGTCAGTAGCAACCTGTAATGGACCAGACGTTTAGGCTTACATTTGCAGCGTCTGTAGGCATACTGAGAACTTTTTAAAACTTCACTCAATAATAAGCTGAATTATCTGAATAAGCTGAACTAGTAATGTCAATTTAGATGAATAATACTTTCGAGAATGAAACCAGCTTTTTTTTAAGATGAAAAATTTCGAGACATTGAATATAACACGAGGGGGAAAAACAAGATTAGTCAGATTCCTTAATGAAAGAAATCAATGATGCAGTCATATCCTGCCTGACTGAGCCTCAAATGTAGTATTGTAACTACATTAGCTTTTCCCGGGGGGGGGGGTTATGGGGGACTGTGCTGAATTTTGGAGGAGGGGCACCAACTTGCTTTGAGGGACTTTCTGCACTAGGTAAAAAATCTGTGTCTGAAACTTTGTCAGTTTCAAGGCACCTGAGTGGTATCCAAGAACTACCAAAAAAAACAGAATTTAGATAATGACAGCATTTGTGAGCTGGAGAGCCCTCTTTTCCTGACATGTACATTCCAGGTTTGAACCAGTCTTGTGGCAGACTCTGCCACAAGATTGGTCGCACGTAGCCAAGTTGATCTACAGCCATTAGTCTGTCACGGTCTTTTGCCTGGTACCCAGGATGTGGGCATTTATTTGGCATAGGTTTCCAAGGGCAATTGACTGGTAGTCGACTGGATGGTCTCAAAGTCAATTCACAATTCCTGTCAAACACAGCCAGAATGAATGTTAGAGATGCTTAATCTTTTGAATAACTTTTGACATGTCTTGGGACTGGATGCTTTGTGATTGATGTACAATGGACTTGTGAGGATTTGTAATGGGCTCAACTACAATATTGACTTTCAGAACAATTCTTTTAATTATTAATTTTTGGTAATTCTTTTCTTAATTTTGTAATTATTAAAAGTTACACATGTAGACAGCACTCCACTTGATTCACTTAACATTTCTGCTGCATGTGTGCACAATATCTTAGAGGTTCTGCCTTCACGTCGAGCTCATTATAAGTTTTGCTTGTTTTGACATTTTTCGCTCTAAAATTGAAAAGAGCAAAACGCCAGAGTTGAGTTCACATGTATGAGTTTAATAAAGTTCTTCCTGGTCATGTGTGTTATGTGCACAGTCAACAACGATATATGAGGAAAAGGAGCAGTTCAAGAAAGTTTTAATCAACACAACCATGGACAGCAACGCAACCATGATCGCCAACGCAACCATGACCACAGAGGAAATGGTCAGCATGAATCCCATGAACATGTCGGACATGATGTTCACTGGCAACCCGATGACGGGCCCCAAGTACGAGATGGTCAGCTTGGGTATGAAGAAGGTGCGCACGATTGGTTACAAAGATGGCATGAATGTGTTAGGTAAGTGGAAGGCACAGTTGTTCCTGTAAGCTTACTGCAAATTGTTCTTCTTGTGCTCTCGCTTGTCAGAAAGTTTCTCATGGACACAGCTAGTGGGTATAGATTCAGGAATAGTCCATTAAGTTGTGCACACTCCCTCAACGTAATTACCGGCACTTTCCTGATGCATGTTCAAATGCATGGCTGGTATGTTACTTAGTCAGTTATGGGTGAAAATACAAAGCTATTTCAGAGATTGAGGAGATGTTTTTGCTTTGAAAAAAAAACAACCGTAATCCAGCAAATTAGACATGTCCTGCCAGTCATTCAGACATGTAGGTATTACACAGCATTTGTGATTTGTTGCAGGTAGCCTGTCCACCTTTAAAGCAGGGGTGTGATTTGCCAGGATTTTTCCTGATTTCAGGATTTTTTTAACTGGGATTTTCCTGATTTCAGGATTTTTCAAACAATTTCTTGCAAAATGTAGAAAATCCTTTTTCCTGATTTCAGGATTTTTTTAATTGGGATTTTCCTGATTTCAGGATTTTTCAAACAGTTTCTTGCAAAATGTAGAAAATCCTGGATTACCATAACGGTGTTTTTACGTACATGTATAAAAGTTGACATAGAACACAAGAAATGGGTATTTTCAGGGGTGCCTCAAGGCAAACATAAGTATATTATCATAGACTCCATGCTTCTGTGGGCCCTCAAACCCTCTGGTGATTGTGTTGTGGATATTTCGTTTTCCTCAGATCTCACTCCAGTATTCCCATATTTTATCCAGGCATCGTTACCTTCTGCATCGCTTTCGGCTTGCTTCTGAGTCGGATGGGAGAGAAGGGGCGCGTCATGATTGAGTTCTTTGACATCTTGGCCGAACTCACCATGCAGCTGGTCAACCTCATTATGTGGTGAGTTCTGTCTCTCCTCCACGCATCCACGGGCTAACAGGTGCTAGGTGTCAGATTTCTGGGTTGGTAACGAATGTCCAACATAGTAGTTTGCAGTGGGACTGCTTACACTCAAGAACGGGCGAACCACCTGATGGGGTAATTTACTGCAGTGTTTAGAAATCCGATTGATTTTTAAAGATACTACAATGAGACGGGGGTCCCTGGCCAATCAGCAGTTTAGCTGAAGGTAGGTATGACATCATGCACTGATCAGCGTTGTTGGGTGTGTCTTCGTCATTCCTTCAGTTCTTCCCACGTTGGTATTTTGAGAAGTCCCTCTGAGTGCATTTCCATATTGTGCGTATACATCACACAGCACACCGTACCACTTTTCGTCACCACTTTCCATTATTACTTGTTTGTGTAAATGGGCTTTATTTCCCACAAGAAATATTTTTATTTGGTTCTCCATACTTCTTCTACTTCCAACAGTTCCTGCAACCCTTTCCTCCTCGTACCTAAACTAATTGGCTAAATCTTACTTCACTTACCTGTGAACTTACCTGTAAAATAGTTGTGAGTTCAGTGATCCTTCAGACAATCTGCAGTCCACCTGTTTCAAAAATTTCAATTCATTTCTAACAGTCATAACTCTCATCTTCGGCAGTACCACTCAAAAAAAGTCACAACAGTGACGAGTTGTGATGCTAGTCACTAACAAGCACTTCAACCAGACACAGCAGCACGTGCAATTCCAAGCAGACATCTGTTCACTTTTATTTATGTGATGCCGAGTAGTGTATTACCTGACCTTGCCACAACCTGTGTCCTGATGTGGGGCCCACATTCTTACCTTTCAACTAATATGTGGCGTAATTATGTTTTTGTGTGGTTACATAGTGAGTGTAATGCCGTGGGAATAAATCATTGACAGCCAGGTCTACATCACTGGTTTCCTATCTGTTTGCCATCTTTAAACCTGACTGCCTGGGTAATTATTTGGATGGACGGAGCATACACTGCCAAGTGCTACATATGTTATACAGGCTGAAGTACTGAGAAGTAAACGGTGTGGTGTTCTATAGACGACAAATATGCGTCGCGTTTGTGGCTTCGCGTCGTGGCATCGTGTCATGCCGTCGCCCACTGTGCCATCACGTGGCATGTTGTTATCACCCATCCCTTGGCAGTAGGTGGTGCCTTTGATGAAAGGTAGCACGGCGAGAGGCACGATGCAATGGCACAATGTGACAGGTGACAACGGGAAGGACAGGTGGTGCCACGATAGATGACGCCATGTCATGTCTTACTTCGCTATTGTAATTAGCTTTGAGGAAAAAGGTGACAGCATGACATGACACCACAATATGACAGCATGACACGACACACATTTGACACCTATATAACACCATAAAAAAAGTACTGTAGACACTCTGTAGAAGTAGCCAAGAGCACCGCATACTACAGGCTAGTACATATTTTTCATAGCTTTACTTGACGTCAGGGTTAAAACAGGCCTTTATTACGTGGCCATTGATACTTATTATGATGCATTACTGGCATACTCAAAGTCATAGCCACTAAGATCCCAACTTGAACACAGCCTCAAAGGATGGCCGACTGCAAAGAATTTTTGGCGATATATATGGGATCTGTGGTGACATGGTCTCCATTAGGGGTAAAATATAACCAAGTTTTCCCTAACTTTCTAAAATTACCAACCTCCTCTTTTTCACCATTCCTTCCCTTCCTCCTCAAATGAAAAAAAAACAACAACAAACGATACCCAGGTATTCGCCCATCGGCATCATGAGCCTGATCTGCGCCAAGATCCTGGCCATGGAGAAGCCAGAGGTCATCTTTGTCCAGCTGGGCATGTACATGGTCACCGTCATCGTGGGGCTGATCATCCACCTGGGCTGCCTCATGACCATCTACTTTGTCATCGTCCGCAAGAACCCTTTTGTGTACTTCCATGGCATGCTGCAGGCGTGGCTGATGGCTATCGCCACTTCCTCCAGGTAAAAAGACCAGATATCTTGTCAACCTGCTCCGCACAATAAATTGTACCCCGTGAGAGAGAGACAGCTATGAACCAGCATTCCATGGGTCTCTAGTAAGAAGGAAAGTGTTTCAACTTGATTGGCAGGGTCTTTACATTGACAACTTTCCCCACCTGTGTGTTTTGCATGCCTGACTTTGATCATACCTAGGATTGCTCATGAATCATTAGGATTCCCCCAGCATTGTTTTATTTAGCACAGCTATTCAGCCCGACTTCAACCTCTGATTTCCAAAGATGAAATGAAACAAGTTGCTCATACATGTAGGTTGCTGCTGCTTACTTTTGGCCTGATTTTATCACACCTTCAGTTTGGTCAGTTTTGAGCCTTTTATTTTTTGCTGTGGTCATTACAACGTAGTGTTGGGGCGTAGTCAAGACTTTTGTTAACTAGTTAATGTCAGGTTTTCTTCCCCGAAAAAGCCACTGGGATGTTTTTTTTGGGGGGGGGCAAATTCTTCAACATTGCAATTTATTTTTGGTGCCCATGAAATATGTACATGTAGGGAGGCACAACTCTTGAGTTCAAGCGTCAGTACTTTCATTCTTTTCCCCCTGAGTTCTTCTGTTCAGACGTTTTTCAATTGCCCTGGTCAGAGTTGTGGCACATGTCCAGACATCAGCCGGTTCATGTACAAAATGTCCATAGTATATATAGGCGTCACCCGTGGCCGCCGGTTCACATACAAAACGCCCATAGTATATATAGGCGTCACCCGTGGCCACCGGTTCACATACAAAATGTCCATAGTATATATAGGCGTCACCCGTGGCCACCGGTTCACATACAAAACGCCCATAGTATATATAGGCGTCACCCGTGGCCATTTGTGTTTTTGCCGTTTGTTTTGATACAAAGGAGTTGCTAGTTGAGATTTTGTAACTCTATCTCTTTTGTAAGTGTGGTTTTATTCCCAAGCAAATCGGTTTACCCCAAACAAAGGAGGTCTTTAAATCCCTTAGTTCTTTTATGTATGGTGTTGGCTGCTCAGTATAATTCTAATTACTCAAGAAAGGAATTCTGGATTATTGTAGGTTGGGGGGTCCACTTAATAGCAGCATCTGTGTGTGGGATCATCTTCCACGCTTTGACCCAGCCAAGCAACTGTGGAAATGGGCAAAGAATTCTTAAACCAGTGTACACATCCTCCGTGGAACATATAAGGAAAGTTATGTGTGTTTACACATCATCTGGCAACAAGTAGTTAATTAAGGTACTTCAACACACTTGACTCCTTGCACAAGGATGTTGTCTGTTTAATCAATCAATCCTGTACATGGACATTGGAGGTTATTCCACGTATATCTTTCAAATCGCTCTCAGTGTTAAACACATGCTATCGAATCAGGGTTGAACATTTTCAGTCCGTTCTCTTTCATACAGTGCCGCCACGCTTCCTGTCACCTTTCGCTGCTTGGAGGAAAACAACAAGATCGATCGCCGGGTCACGCGCTTTGTGGTGCCCATCGGGGCCACCGTCAACATGGACGGCACGGCACTGTACGAAGCTGTGGCAGTCATCTTCATTGCGCAGATGAACGGAATCCCCCTCTCTGTTGGCCAAGTCATCACTGTCAGGTGTGTAACCGAAATTGGATCTTCTGTCCAGACACACTGCCACATGCCCAATACCAACACCTTCATTTCCCCCCACACTCTTTTCCGAGTAGAAATAGCCACTGAATGTACATACAGAACAATATCTAGTAGCGTCTCTTGTAGCAGCACTCCTTGCATTTATCGGGTTGCATTCCTAATTTTAGACAGTAACAGATTGCTTTTTGGGTGAGGTAAAGAAAGGAAATATCCCAATCTATGTATCCGGTTGATGAAGCTTTCAAGTTTCTTCTCGCTGACCTTTCTCCTTTTTTGGGATACAGCTTGACAGCCACGCTTGCGAGCATTGGAGCAGCTAGCATCCCCAGTGCTGGGGTAGTCACCATGCTCTTGGTGTTGACTGCTGCTGGCCTGCCCACCAACGATGTCAGCATCATCCTCTTAGTGGATTGGTTCTTGTAAGTAGCCAAAATCGGTCTGGTCACTACTGAGCAACCATCTTCCTTGCTTGAGCGGCGCATGCCATACGCACATGTGTTTGTTTCAGAGGTGTGGGGATAACACTGGTGTTGAAATGTAGACCTTGTGGGGACCAAATCATGATGGGGGGTGCAGACTGTTTCCCCACAACCCTGTTTTGATTCTCCTAACAGAAGAACTTGTCTCCTGAATGCGGTAATGGCCTGGAGGCACAAAGGTACTTGCACGCATGTGGAGCGGAGCATGCACTGGTTACTGCGCCAATCTATGGCGTAATCCACGTGGGCACTTGGCACAGGAATACCTTTCTTGCTTGAATAACCTGTGACTTAGCTTAAGACATAATTGACTTTTGATGGTCCTTGGACTTGTTAGGACTGGTGATGAACTCAATTACAACCCTAGTACCATTCAAGTCAAGACTTTTGCCTTGACATCCCAAATTCACTTGTCTTTGCAATGAGCACGAACCAATATGAGTACTCATCAGTGGGCAACAGTGCACACTAAACTGTCCTTCATTGCTGTCTTTTTTTTTCCCCCTCCCAGGGACCGCCTGCGTACCTCCATCAACGTTCTTGGGGATTCCTACGGAGCAGGTATTGTCTACCATCTGTCTAGGAACGAGCTGGCCGCCCAAGACGCAGCCCTGGCAGCTCAAGAAGCCGGTGGCTCCTACCCAGATGTCAACCATCACAGCAATAAGATGATGGACACCTCCAACCGCAACTCCCTGGAGGTGGTGGATCGGGAACACAAGAGGATGGATGGGGATGCTTCACGGGAAACCAACTTCTAAAAAAAAGTTACCCCCCCTCCCTCCCCCTTCCCCACCGACGGGGCTGGGTTGGTCATTTCCATTCCCCATCCCATTCTTTTCTGACATAGTTGAACGCAAACGAATTCAATAGTGCTTTCTGTTAGCCAGTAGCGTAAAAGAGATCAGTTGTCCCTACGATGACCCAAATTTGAGAGTGTGTTGTCCGTGTGCCCATTGCCCATCGGCTGTGGTCACTTGCTTGACCAGTTTGTCGGTGGCCACGGCCAGTGCACCAGTGAGTAGTACGACTTACCTTGCGTGTATCAGTGCAAACTCTTGGGTGAAATGTTTCTTTTATATTTTGCCGTGAAGATCTTGGGATGCCAATTTGGTGAATTGAAGACAGTCCCACTGCTTCCATCTGCAAAACTTGTTTGATGAATTTATGGCAACGTAGCCCAGACTAATCGAGCAGGAAAGAAGAACAAAATGAACAGCAAATTGTATCCCTCTCTTGGATAGGTCAGAAGAAAAAAGATGGCAGACGTGAATCTTCTCCTCGTTGTCTCCCTCAATAAAATAACACAGGGTGTGCTTAAATGTGTAGATGTTTTTGTATTCCAACCTTAAGTCCAATTTTTCTACAGAAAATACAATGCATAGCACCATTTAAAGTCTATTTCATTATTTTTTTTACCTGTTTGTTTAGGAACTTTTTTGGTCAGGGATTGTGATGAAGTAGAGTTAGACTGGATCTGTTGATTGACAAAAAAAGTGTGGGTTCTCAAGTTAGAATTGCTCATTTTAAAGAAAAATTGTATATTTAGGAATGGTTGTGAGTTGGAGAAAAACCTTATACAGTTCAAGAAATGCTTATTGTATTATTTGTTTTTAGATTTTTGATCAGTATCGTAGTTGCGAATGTTCTGTAGATTTTTTCTGGTAATCTTGCTAGTCTTGTAGTGTATTGCTAATCTATAAAGCTCCTTTGTACAGGGCATCTTTTGTACATCTGTTTGGTATGGATTAGTTATAACATGAACTGATTTGTGACGTGACATTTTCAGTCTGGTTCAATGACCAATGTGTAAACAAACTCATAGCAATAATGAAGTGAATATAAAGAGCGTGGTTGATTGTGTTGAACCCGATTGTGTAGATAGGTGCTGAAGTTGTGGAAATGAGAAAGTGCTCTCAAAATGTACCCTAACTCCTCAAGTATCCCTCCTCGGCCTGTGTAGGTGATACTGACTGTGTCCAATTATTCTTGACAAGTATGTATATAAATATATATAAAAATTCAGTCTACATGGGTGATTTAGAGTGCATTTATACACCAGTTAACTTGATGCACGGCATGTGTCAAAACATGGCCGCAACTGTTTTCACATGGCAACTGTGATCAGCGTTGGTGTATAAATGTGCCTGGCTTTGAACCTTTGCCGTGGAGTTGGTATGTGCCCATCTGAGCAGAGTCCAAAGTACGCTGCAGTCGTTGAAAAGTTTCATTAAGCAAAGAGACAACAACAGTGCAGTCTGTAAAGCTTCTCGTTTGCCAAGTGCAAACAAGGTCAGTGACCGAGGTGAACTCGTGAAAAGCTTGAGAGCTTTGGCATCAGGTTCTCCTGTGCAGGTGCACTTAGCTGTTGCATTGTGACACCTGTCAACGGAACACTATTGTTGTATCATGCACTTAAGGGTCCCATACATGTGAGGTAAATGTAGAGTAGATGTGTGATAAAAAATGATGTTTTGAGGTAGGGACAGTACACGGTACTATGTACCCACATCATTAGTCTTGGAGGGGCCTTTTTCAACTTAAATTACTCAAATCCTGTGTTAAATTTGTCTCCTTCATTGCTAACCTGTGGTACTCAATTAAGCCTGACAACTGTATAGAATCAGTGTTCTTCACTTGTTTGAAATTCCATCCTGAATCGCATTCTTCAAAAAAGGGTACAACCGGCTTAGTCCTTTCTACAAAAGGATGAGAGTTCGGTGTGCTGTTAACCTCTTTCCCATGATGCACTGTAAGAATGGCCTCTCCATAATAACCTCTTGGTGGCGCTCTGTGCAGTGAATCACTTCCGTCACACGGGTAACAGTGCAGTGACTCCTGTCATTGTGTCAAGGTACATTTGCCCACACATGAACACTGTTTTAGTTTAGTGCTTGCAATGCAAACTGCTGCGAGAATGTCAAGGCAGACAATCATTCAAATCACACAGTACAACATCATTCACAAAAGCACACCTCAAGTCAGCTGAGTGAGTGACTATGTTTGGCTGTTTGTTTCTGTTGGACAATTTTGTAAATATATTAAAATCTGTATCAAGTGTTAATACTAAATGCATATATATTACTATATCATAAACTGTGTATAATGCTACTAACATAGTTGCATGTGTATCTCATGTTATATCAGGGTGTTTCAAATGAAGAAAACTTATGGAATTGTTAAAAACCCCTCCTGGAATTTTGAACTATTTTGATTTTTCAAGGAGAAATGAAAACCATTAATTACTGGTTTGATTTTACATTTTTTTTCTTAATGCTTTTTTTTTTTTTAGTGTGTTATGATTTATTGGTAAGCCAGTGACTATAGTTGCCTTGGTTATTTGAAATTGTAGTTGGATGCTTTAAACTTTATTCGACAATCTGTAATGATTGGTTTGTGAATTATGCAAGAATTTGATTGGGATGAAAGGTTACACAAAACTAAAATGACGGATTGCAAATGTCAAGCAATACTTGGTTGTAAGGACCAGTCGTCAGCTAGCATTGTTTGAATAATCTACCTTCAGCTATTTAGGAGAGAAACCTTGAGTCACAGTTTCTGTGAAATGAATTTGCTCAAGATTGTCGTTAACGAGACTTTCTCCTTGTATCTTTACCAGAGTTCAACTCAAGACAGGAAATCATGTTAGAATCTTTCATTCTTAAGCCATGTAACAGTATTCATTAGTTTCTAGTTCAATTCCGTTTACAGGTATTGATGAGAAGAAATCAGGGGTCAGTCGCTTGCTTAGACAAAGCATTGGCTTGTCCATTGATGGGTTTCCATCCCGCTGCATCTCACCTTGGTGACTGATAGTTGCAATCCTTCTGCAGCCTTTGTAGAAGACCTCAGAGATCACAGCTGGCGCCAATTGTCGATAGCACAATGTTTACAAAGCCCTCGCCGTCAAGAAGCCAGTGGTGATTTTTACCTTGTCGATTTAATCAGTTAACATTCAACAAAGTGCAGACAGAGTAACTTGTCCCTGACAAGATAGAACTCAAAGATAAACTGTAATGATGGTGATGCTGACAAAATACTGAAATGCACTCTCCGCTCCTCGTTCTGGTTATAGTGAAGTTGAATACGACTCCCCCGATTGAAATTGCTCATGTGTGCATTGATAACAAGTGAACAGGACTGTAATCATGTTTTTCAATCAGGCTTCTTTCAATTATTTAAGACGCACATTTGTCAAGCAGCGTGTCTGTAATTTTAAGAAATCATTTTCAGAAACCACAGAAATGAAATACATCTAAAAGTGCAGATTCTAACTGTCGCTTGTACCCACCATCCACTCCAAGAGTGTGAAGGGAGGGCTGATTTCTTGGAGTGTGCTGACATGGAATGCACATGAAATGTACATATCCCTGCATAGACACATGCTTCCAGTCCCATTTATTTCTCAAATACATGTATTTTGGCTTTCTAAAACTTCTTGAATAGGATGATGGTTATGGTCCAAGTCCTGATTCTAGAATGCTTTTTTATGGCATAATTCACCTTTATACAGAGAGTAGTCATTAATGTGAACTTCATTTTTGTTCCTCCAAATGTTATTTTTCACATATTTATGCACAGTTTGTACCTTAAAAAAAAAGCAGGACCTGAAATGTTTAAAGGAAAGCTCTTTACAATTTTTATAAGTGGCCCAAATAAGCACCTAAGGTTTAACGAAATTGAATCTACATTTTCATAATAATTAACCTAATTTTTTCTTGCTACACGTATGTACAATTATTACTTTTTTTACACATGATTTTTTACTGAATACTGAATTCCCTGTTTGAGTTGAGTGACCGGACCTGATTTTGTACGTAGCACCCAAGCAAAGATCTGCAGATTAACCACTTGCTGCCGGGTGCTTTTAAAAATGCAGTGCACACATCCGGGAGATTTTTTAGATTTTCAGTTTTGAAAATTCTTCGAAAATTCTTCATTTCATCTAATGTATCTTTACACCCACATGAATGACTGTTTGGTGGCTACTCTAAGCTGACAGGCAACCTTCATTGACTCCTGAGTATTTCAGCCGGACCTGCCGCCCTGTCAAGAGAACCCAGAATTGTGAGGTGTTGCATAATTTCCTTTGTCCCCAGTGAATGCGAGTGGCGTCTTTTCAAACTTGACTGGATTAGCATGCAGCTGTGCTGTGTCACTCATCAATGGGGCCCTAGAGCACTTTTTGTCCGTGGTGCTCATCTGCGGGCTCGCAATGCCCAAAACAGTGATATATACTGTTAAAAACAGTGACGGGTTTACCTTCGAAAAATTCAAGCCAAAAAATGATTGTAATTCCCAGCAGCAGGTCTTTTGTTCTGAGTACGCTCTTTTGTTACACAGAGCAGCTCTTTTGTCCCATTTTGGGCACTCCGATTCTGCGTATAAGCACGTGGTGCTCGAAACGGGATTCCCCAGCACCAAGTAGTTAAGACTTCTGCATGCAGTGATGTTTTCAACGTGGTGCCGGTGTCATTTTTGCAAAATTGACATCGATCCATTGCACTTTTGAACAAGAATCTCTGCAAC